ATCTATCTATCTATCTATCTATCTATCTATCTATCTATCTATCTATCTATCTATCTATCTATCTATCTTTTCCCCACCCCACTTTGCTTTTTTCATCAGTTTGCAAATTCAAAATTTGGAGATCTAAATCACCTCAGCTTAGTTGTTATATTGATGCAATCTGGATGACCTGATTTTTTGAACATCTCCTTGCCTTTTCTAATTGAACATGATTGTTACTCAGGAAAAACAACGAAGAAACATAGGCTATTAGCAGAGTAGCGATTAAACCACAGCCTGTGGCTATCCTTGAGATTAAACCCGATATTGCCTCCCTAAATAATATTAAATACAGTTGCATATTTTTATCACTATGATCTTTATAATGGGTGGCTCCTGGTATGACTGAATTAATGCATGTACATATATGTCACTCAAAGTTATACACACACACACATATATATCAATCCTTATTTCTGGATGGCCCTGATTGCTTGCAAATATACAAGGCATAAAAAACCCCAAGTATAGTATTAACAAGTATGATAATATTATTACTATATTTTTCCATGTTAGGGATTATGTTCAGTGAAGGCATGAAGAAACATTCTATAGTCTGTAAATAATTTTCTGCAATTAATGCGCATTATATCTTAGGTGGTAAATCAAATTCCCGGTCCTATATAGACCCATACAGTCTATATCCTGTGAATACAAAGGGATTGATCTCCTAAATTGTATAAAATGGGCATACAGTACACTTGAAGGCCTATTTTCATTGCATTGTAAATAACCCCCTTTTAGCTTTATTTGATTATTGTCAAGTGTACTTAGTGTAACAAATAATTCCTATGGTGAATTTCCATATAGGTCAGTACTGACATCTTGTGGCCAAACATATTTTGATGTAAGTATGATTTTGTCCTATATATGAGACAGAAGACCAAGCTGTAGTTTCCTAGGTTTCTTTTCTATATTTTTATCAAGTTTCTTTAGAACATGCCTATAATATAGAATAAAAGTAATTGTGTAAAAGATAAAATGTCCTCAAGTCAAGATTGTCTTCTACTGACTTTCATATATTGAATTCCATATATTGAACCACTACTGACTTCCATATATTGACTTCCATATGTTGAATTGCCTTTGCTGACTTCTGTGTCCTAAATACAAAATTAGTGAAACCTGTTTAGTTTTTCAAGATTGGCTAGGTGCTGCCACCTAGCAGGATGATAGATGTACAGTTTTCACCTATATTTTTAAATTTAATTCATTTTCTGCATCTTTTATACTCCACATTTTTACAATGCGATTTATATTCATATAATTACTGAAATTACTTTTTTAGCCAGTCTATATAGTTTATATTTACACTCAACAAGTTCTTTAATTGCACTAAACTGTTTCTGACAAGTATGCATAATTGCAGTAAAATTCCCCACATATATTTTTTGTTACACCATCCAATTGTGAATTTCTATACACAGAAAAAAAAAGAATTTAAAAATTGGAATTTGTTCTTAACATTCTGTACTCCAGCATATAAACAGAAAGTCACCGCTCTTTTTAATCCAGCACTATGATTGATTATTCTGAAATGACTAATATCATATATGATGAATCACTGCAGTTACTTCCAACTGCAGCTATCTCATTTTGAACCAATAAATAATACTGATATCTAGCACTTTTACCTGGTAAAACAACAAGCATAACCTGGAATTTGCTTACAGAAAGGTCTAGAGCACTTTGTACTCTTAAGTGTTTACATACAGCATGCTTGAGTAGAGAGACATCTTACTGTAAGCTAATTTCATGCCAATCAATATGAATACCTTGGGTGCTGCATACAGATTTTAATGGACTGTCAGTCGAGTCAAAAGAATCATCTATCCGCCGAGGTGGTAAGTGTATTCGATTCTGGCCTGCCTCTTTCTCGGGATAAGTCTGTACAATAAGGCACAGAGAAGGCTGAACAAGAACATCTCTTAACATGGCTGAGTTCAGGTCTTCAGCAGCCTTCTTATTGATTTCAACAATTTCATCACCTGCTTTCAGACCTGAAAAGAAACATATTAAAGCTCAACAAGGGGTGTCCTGTACCTAGATGTTAGGATTTTTAATTTCCTTAAGCCATAGACACCAAAGAACAAATCCTTTCATTTCCTGTACATTCTGCATTTTGAGATAAGAAGCATTTTATTGATCATTAATGAAATAGTTTTGGACAGTATTCACAGATGCATTCTATTGTACTAATCTAGTCCAATGGTATTTGAGTCGCAGTAAACCTTGGCATATATGACAGCCAAGTACCAAGCACAGATTGTAAAGATGTCACTTCAGGTATTCTATTCCTACACAAATACTTTGAAATTATAGAGGCATGGTGGCTCTGTGACAGTGGTGGGTTCCGGATTTCATTCCAACTGGTACGGTTGGAACGGTCCTGGTGTCACCCACATGGATACGCGTAGCACACGCACACACACACGCAGCATGCACACACGATGCTCCAGATGGTTGGCGGAGCGTTGCGCAGGTGCCATACGTGCCATGCGCGTGCGCGAAAGCACCAAAAGCTTAAAGCACAGGTAAGGAGCGAGGGCGGGTGGGTGGGCCCTCCTGAGCACCATACCGGAACAGTATCCAGTGTTCCGGGCAGGCTCCGGTACGCCCGTACCAGGGCGTACCGCCTACAACCCACCACTGCTCTTTGACTTAATGATGTTAGAGATGGTTTTCTCAGGAGATTCAAGATCAGGCACTGAGCAGTGGGGTGAGCTCCCATCACTTGCCTCAGCTTCTGCCCACCTAGCAGTTTAAAAGCATGTTATGTGTGAGTAGATAAATAGGTACCACTTTGGTGGGAAAGTGATCCAGTGCTTCATGAGAATGGTCAGAACTATGCCATTTGCAAGATGACTTCGGTGAATAAGTATTCAATCATATAGAGTGAATAAATGAGGGGAGAGTATACAGCCTGGCCTACTCCTTCTGGAGCCAGTCCATTTCACAGACTTATTCATGTTGTTGTTATCACGATTTAATAGAGCTGCCCACTCCCATACACAATTTGTTCATCACTCCAGGGATGTAAAATTGCAAGTCTAGATAGAAAAAATGTAAGATTATATATTGCAGTGTTTGGCCAGAAACACAGCAACCTCATGTACATACAGTAACTCAGAATTCAATGAACATAGTTGATTTGAAGGAGACATCAATAACCTTCAATGCTCTCCCAAGCTTAGGATCTTCGAGCCTTGACTTAGATTTTGAGGATGAAACCTCTTTTCCAGTCCCTACAAAGATTATCTTATTCTTTAGATGCTTCAGAGTGTTGGAGATGCCAATGAGAAATATTCCACCCTTCTTCTATATTACCTAAGTTCTGGAAAATTCCCAGACTTATTCACACACAAACTTCACTTGACACTGCAGTGCTAACATAAACAAAATGCCTACTCTATCTATACTGCAGCTATGCCAGGACAGTTAGATTTATTTTTTTCATAAAAATGGTATATTGCTATTAACGTTTAAAATTCCTTTTTTGCTGATTTTTAATAAATTCCTGTCCTTATACAGTCATTAGATAAACAACTAAAGGGGAACATTCTACACCCACCCACATTCTCCTGAGCTCTCTAGGATACTTAAATTCTTGAATTCTTACAGTTAGGGCAGCTTTGTTAAATTAGAAAGATGTCTAAAGATACAGTAAATTTACAATCATGAATTTTAAATGGCAAAAAGGAAGCGTACACTCACATTATTATATATAATATCTAAAAGATGATGGATAAATATATAATTATGAAGAATCCCAGCTTCTTATAGCCATTCACAAATTATTTTTACACAGTACAGCAGATGGTATACTCTTGAATAATAGAGAGGGGAAAATCCTTGAATGCTGAAGACATCATATGACACAAGTTCTAGCATCTTACCTTTTTTAAAAGCCAGACCTGTTTCTTTGACACTGTTGATGTGGAGACGACGAATCCCTTCTTCTTCTATTGAGGATAGAGAAAAACCTGTTAAAATAAAAATAAAATAAGAATATTTGTTAATATTTTAAGCAATAGTATTTAAAAGGAAGCATTTGGTTCTCTACAAGCAAACTATTTTTCTTTGCTGATTCCTCCCCCCAAAAAAGGAAAACAACAAAAAAGGCCAAGTAATAACAGAATAATAGAATAAATGACATAAATTATACAACCATTTCTCCAGATTATAACACTTCTCCCAGCGTTAATATTCTTTGCTTAGAGTCAAACATTATGGTTCTATTCTTCAGATTTTGCACACATACAAAGTACATATGTTTTGGCAAAACACTGAAAAATTGTGTATGTTAAATAGCATGTGTACAATTGCAATCATCTACATTTACTACTGCATGTAAATTGGTTTTTAAAATTCAGCTTTAAAATCTGGCAGTCATTGGGGAAATCAGCAGTATGTATAAGAGGGAAACAGCTTTAGTGATTGGATGCTGGTTTGGAGATTCAGGTATAAAACATTTATAGTGGAATATTATAAAATGGAAAAACAGATCAGTCTTAGGATTCATAGCAGAGACTGTGGTGCAATATCTAGAAGCTTAACATAAAATTCAAAGTATGGGTCCATTATGTAATTGTCACCTTCATCATAATAAAAAAGAAACAACTACAGCAGGCACGTGAAACAATTAACAATATCTTCAAAGAAAAAACATTCACAAGAGAAGACGAAAAAAGAACATACTACCTTCCTGGATATCCTCATCAGAACAGGAAATGATGGCAAATTAGAAACCCAGGACTATCGGAAAACAACATAAAGCAACCGAGTGCTCCGCTACCAAAGCAATAACCCAACTCCCATAAGAGAAACTATCAAAGAGCATAATTCAGATGAGTATAAACACACTGCAGTGCAGCAACCCACTACACCAGAAACAAAAAATAGACCTATAAAATACCTATCAACAAAATAGATACGGACACAACTTTATCAAAAAGTGCATAGCCACACAATTTGCTTCAGCACAACCAATACAACCTATGAAAAGGATAGCACACCCATAAATCAAAAGGATTTCAGAAATAACCAACAGACTTCAACTACATAGCATCCCTGTAGCACACAGCCAACTAAATTCCTCTAAAACACCTAAAGCAAACCAAAAAACTGAAGACAAGAAATCAGGAATCATTTACAGTATACAATGCAAGGACATTGTTCCTGAAGGGAAAGGAAGGAATTGGCTAGAAATATTATCTATATTATTCTACAGTAATAGGATTAGGCCTGAATTAGGCCTGTCATTGACCATCTGCTGCTTTATAAAGGTGTGCTGAAAGCTTAATTGCCTTTATTAAAGATGTCATTGATAGCATCACTACTTTCAAAGCTACAGTAATGGTTCATGTGCAGGATGGGCTTTTCTTGAATTGATAAATGAAATTATTCTTTCAGACAGACAAGATGATGAGTAGAAGATGAAATGTTTCCCTTCAAGAAAACATGAGGCAAACAGAATTTCATTTTTTTAAAATTTAGGGTGTACAATGAAAGTAAATTCCCTGAACATTGATCTAAGCCACCCAGAGTCAGCTATATGTGAACTGGGCAACTATAGAAATTTGGTTAATAAATAAATAAAATAATTTATGCCTAAATAAGCACCAAGCCATGAGAAAGTAGAGAAGAGAATGTTTTGGAGCTGAGTTTCTGCAAAGACAAATGGGATTCCTCAGAACCACATGATATTGATGAAAAAGCACAGCCAGAGGTCAATAACCCTAACTCTGAAAACCATTTACCAGCTGCAAAGAATACTATGTTGAAAATAACTGAAAGGATAAATGGTTAGCAGTCCAAAAGAAAGCTTTAATAAATTGATAATATCTTTTTCTTAAGGAACTTCCAAAGAAAGGTCAACTAGTAAAAAAATGTTCTTCTTAGCATTTGAAAATGCTGCTTAGAGCTGTCACATGACATTTAGGAACAGAGCATACCCTGCTATATGATTGTACTTGTGAAAAGATATTGAAATAATAGTTGACATAATTCTAGTGATAAAGCTGCAAAGGAAGCAAAGGCAATTTTTGGCTGCATCGTGACATCAAGTGTCAAATCATGGAAAGTATTTATTCCATTTCACTCTGCTTTGATCAGCTTCCATCTTAAGTGCTATGCCCACTTCGGACACTGCAATTTAGGACAGATTCAGAGCAACTGGTTCAGGCTCAGAGCAGGGGTGGCTACCTGCCAGTTCTAATCTTTTCTATAGAAGAGGTTCCACAAATCTACAGTGCCGTTTAGAACCGGTTCCAGCTCCCGCCCCCCACCCATCCGCACATCATTAAGATGAACAGAGCGAGAGGAGGAATTCTGGGAGTTGAAGTCCAAAAGTCTTAAAACTGTCAAGTTTGAATAGCCCTGGGGGTTTTTTTCTAAAGG